TATGTGTGATTAAAAACTTTAGATCACACCTTTTAAGTGTGATTAAAAACTTTAGTTCACACCTTTTAAGTGTGATTAATAACATTTAGATCACATCTTTTAAGTGTGATTAATAACTAATAAAATCTGTGATAAAAAAAGGTGCTACATATTTGAAAAATAATCAATATTATTTTTGTATGCACATTTGAATAATGTAATACACACTATATACTATATTTTGAATCATAACCACATATTGAATAGAATAACGTCATATATTTCATAAATGAAAATTAAATATTCAAAAGTATATACAAAAGAATTAAATAATAAAAAATTAACTGTGCTTACATATATTAAAAAATGAAAAAACTTAAAAAAACTAAGTTCTTTAATTCTTGGACCATATTTTGCATCTCTCCAAAAAAATTCTGACCTGAAAAATAAAAAACACAAATTAATCCAGAAACCGCTAATGCAATGAATAAACTAAAAAGTTAATTCAGCAAACCAAAATAGAAACATTAATTATTTTTGCTTGATCTTAATTCTTTTGGAAGTACCTTCACTGTTAACAATTAGATGCCACAGCAGCTCAGTGTCAATGACATTGTAATTAGAAGGTCACTAATGAGCACAATATTTAAAAATGATAAATTTCAATACAGTTTGTGTACGATCTTTTTGTGAATATATATTATTATTACTGTTGAACCATAATTCTAGGTACCCATAAATAAATAAATAAAAACTCAAGAATTTACTCTTTTTTTTGGAGAGGGGGGAGATACATTGCAGTTACTATCACCAGCACCAGCAGCAGGTTTTAAAGAAGCAGAAGCTGCATTTTCTTTGCACGTTTGGAGGAAAAAGAAGAAAAAACAGCTACCCATTTCATGCATGTCTATCTACCAAAGAATAACTGCAAACACTAACAATTGGCACAAGCGTATAGAAAATCACAAAGAAAATACATTATTATCTCAAAATACATAGCGAAGCATTGTAGCCTCAGATTCAATTCCTCCAACTCCCCAGCCAACAACTCCTAAGCCAGCAATCATATTTGTATGGGAATCAATTCCAACCACGCTATCAGGGTACAAAATGCCATTTTTGTAGAAAATAACCCATCCAAGGTATTCAAGATTAACTTGAAAATTACCAGAGTCACTTGCTAAATGCCAAACCTAACAAATAATATTATAGTGCTAAAAAAATGAGAAAATTTGGACTATGATTTACAAGAGGCTAGAGGTAAATGTGGCTTTACTCTGGAAGCCCCATAAATAGTTAAACATTGCAAACCTCATGTATTGAGCCTATACCTATCTAATGTTTTAGCCCTTTTAAGAGTAAACCATTCATACCACCTTAAGGGCAAATTATTGCACCTTGCCTACAAAATACAGTGAATACAAGCCAAGAAGCATGATTTTCAAGATTCGCCAACATAAAAGAAATGACATTGCCGACGTGAATACAAACAAAGCCGACAAAATCCAAATTGAAATTATACATGAGTGCTGATTCCGCGGACGAAATATCCGTAAAATGGCAATTGGAAGTGTTTGTATGTTGATAGTGAAATTATTGAACCATTGAGTTGTAGTCTCATTTGGGTTATTGAAAAATAAAGGAATTGGCTCATGTATTGAAATGAATTGAAAGAAAATGAAATGAAATATGATCTTGGCATTTTTTTTTTTATGACTATATAAAATGTGAATGTTTAATCCTTGGCATTGTATATGCACATTGTACTTATATCTTCGTTAAACCTCATATACTGTGTTATATTGTTCTTATTTGGCTGTGGCTCACCTTATTTGGGAAAAACATTTTCAGGTATTGAGAGCATGCCTCCTCCAAGACAATAGCTGGGAGGGACTTTTGGAAGCACCAGCTTCTTGTTTTGATTGTATATTTTTGTATATCCATAGGCTTATTTGTAAGACCTAGTCTCTCTTTTATTGTAACCAAGTCAAGGCTTGGAAAGGTGTAAGCCGATAAGGCACTTATATATGTTAAACTCTTTTGTATCACTAAGCTTATGTAATGAAAGGCCTTTTACTCTGATTTATGTTACTATTAACAAATGTTTTAAGTTGTTTTATTGTATTATTTGGGAGCGTTACAAATTACAATGATAGGGGGTTAGTATAATTTCCCAAACGTCAAGGGATAATATGTATTAAACCTAAACATCAGGAATGTAAGTGTAATTTACCTTTATAGTTATAAGTGTAATAATAAAAAATTTAAGAAAAAATAAAAAATAAAAAACCACAAAATTCAATTATAAGAAGTACACACTACACAATTTTATCAAGGGCAATGCTAGAGACCACTAAAAGTGGTGCTTTAAACCAACCACTAATGATGTGGTATCTATTTTTTTTTTTTTAAAAAAAAACAACAAAAACATTGTGGCAGTGGGTGGGACTCACTGCCACATCATTAGTGATGACACTAATTAGTTCTCCCACTCATTTTCCTTTTATCAAAATTGTGGAGCCCACTGACGCCAACACACTCCTGAATTTCAGGAAATTTCACTTCACGTTCCGTTAACGCCGTTTACCACTTGCTTATACTTTTTTGTTGTTGGTCTTATTAAAAAAGTTTTAATTAATTATTATTATTTTCAAGGACGATTAGCCTAGAAATTTATAAAAGCCACTTCGAAATGAGTTATTATTAAAGCCTTTGATTGCGTAGAATATTTTTAACTGGACTTTTTTTATTTTTTGGTTATTTTAGATTGATTAAAAAAAAATTATTTGGGAAGAATTTTTTATTTTTTTGTAATTTTGTGAGAAAAATAAAATAAAATAATTATTACAATTTGAATATAA